CTCCCCGCAGCCCCGGGCTCCAAGTGGCTGAGGCGCCGGGCGGTGGGAAGGCAGGGGCGGGAAAGAAGAGGGAACTAGGCCTCCCCGGGGACCGGTCCCTGCCAGGTCCCGGGGCGCAGGCTCCGGAAATGGGGGGCTGGGCCAGTGGGCCGGGCCCCGGGTGGGGGGCTGAGTACCTGGTGGAGAAGAGGAAGGGAGCCGGGAGGAATGGCCTCCTGGAAAAGTTTGCTTTCCAGCCAGGTCTGCGCCTCGGAAATGGGCACCCTGCCCTGCGATGTTCCCGGGCCAACAATCAGAACTTTTTCCTTTCCACCCACAGAGTCGGGGGCCTGGGGAAAGCTAACTGCTATGATAAGGGATTCCTGAGTTTCAATTTCTAGACTGCACCTTACCTGGAAGTGTTATTGTTTCCCTTTTATTCTCTTTTCTTTTTCCCGGTAGCCCAGGCCTGGGCCTTGCTTGCTTCGTTATCTCCGCGTACCGGTGTGTGTGTGTGTACGTGTGAGTGTACGTGTGTGTGTGTGTGTGTGTGTGTCTGTGTGTGTGTACACAACTCTCTCCGCTGTTAGGCAAGGCTCTGAAGTTCGTAACAGGGATCCTTGCTCTGAGTCCCCTCTCCCCTATTTACCTGTCTATAGGGAGCGTCTCGTTGGCCTCGGTGCAATAAGGTTCTTAGAAAAGCGTGAAAGTTTAGAGCAGCCAGCCAGATTGCGGATGCAGGAGCCCATTTTCAGAGCCCCGGTTCCGAGAGCGAGCATCTTTTGTAAACGCCTTTCAGCAGAACTGGCCCCGGATAGTTAATCCTGGAGCCTCAGTTTTCGAGTCTCAGCTCCCCTCCCCGCTTCCTGGATCTTGGGTTCCCTGGACACTCTTGTCCTCCTGTCGGCCTAGCTGTGAACTCTGGCCAGCAAAGGGTCAGACTGCGGGGGAAGGGAACACCAAACAGAGGAGGACGAGAGGGTGTTTTCCTTTCTGCTTCCTTCCTCCGTTGCACCCCCCCCCCCACTGTGCTCCCTGCTTGACTTCAAAAGCACCAAGCCCCAGAGAAACAACCCCCAATGTGGCCTCTTCCCAGACTTCCTGCTTTATCTACACCTGGGGTATGGAAGCTCCAGGCTCTATCAAAACAGTCATTATTTGTTAACCAGTCCTCAGGCCTGTGACTGAAGTCATGAACATTGAAAGGACTTGGGGGGAGGAGGGGAGGAGCTGGGCAGGGGACCGAGGTGTAACTTCTAAGACTGTGGTAAAAGAGGAAGAAGTCAGAAGGAATGCTAAGATATCCCTCTTTTCAAAAGAATACAGAAATTCCAGATATAGCCAAAGTTTTCATGTATCAGGGCTCCCGAAGAGGGGTGTGGCTGCCCATAATGTAATTTGTCTGAGGTTGTCTGTGGTCACTTTATGCACTTGTCTGTCTTTGGGACAGACATTTGTGGTGTCTGAAATAGTCACTTATTCTGGTGTGGGCACAAATGGGATCTCTTATTGGGATGGTATTTTGAACAGAATGGTATAGAAACAAACGGTGATTGACAGCCTTCGTTGTAAACAGGACTCCCTACTTTCCACTTAGAGTGCCTATAAAAGTACAAAGGAACGATGTCACCAAGGTTAGTCAAGTCACACCTTACCTGAGTGGATGGCCCCACAGCCACAGGTGGGTCCGAGGACGTAAACATCCTCACTTAGAATATTCTTATATGAGGCCATCTGTCCTCTGAGGCAATCGGTTAAAGATGTGTATTCCGTTCTCCACCAAGTTGGTCGGACAGGTCTTAATAGCAGTGGTGCCGTTCTACCCTCATTCTGGTGTCTTTGGAATATTGAGAGCAGTGGGGTCAAACACTGAATCAAGTTACATATCTGTGGGGTGATCGTGTGGGCTAAAAGAAAGTAAGAGAGTATATTTTTGGATTGAAGGTGGGAGATTTGTTTTCCTCCTGTAGGCAGAAGTGTAGATGCCGTTGTAAATAAATGCACAAGCAATCCCAAGAAGTAAGGGTATCCTTGAAATCATTTGATACCTGGTGATTGGAAATAGACAAGAGCTAAGGTGCTGAGGGAGTGTCTAGAGGAGACTGTGGAGGTCTGCTGTGTTCTGTACAAGTTTAGGAGACTAACTTGGAGCTTGGTCTCCTAAAAAGTTACACAGCATGGTGTCTTGAAGATGCGAAATGTCTCTGGTCTGGAGGGCAGCCAGTTTCCTGTGATGCTGTGACCTGTCTCTGCCAGGGTGCAGATAAATAGTGATTAGTCACCTCAGATGAGAAGGCTATGAGGACATTTCAAATCTTAACGGAATGGGTAGTTAAAAAAAAAAATCCATTCTAATTCTAATGCCTTCATATGAGTAAGACCATGTTTTATAGATTTCCTTTTGTTTTCTCCACATTCTAGCCAGGTCGTGCCTATTTGTGTAGAATCATGGAGGTAGAATTAACTGTGGGAACTAGGTTATGCGCTACCTTTGGTGACTACCATGTATCTTTTCTTTCTTTTTTTCAGGGGTATATGGGGGGGAGGGTTTCAAGACAGGGTTTCTCTGTGTGGTCCTGACTGTCCTGGAACTTGCTCTGTAGACCAGGCTGGCCTTGAACTCACAGAGATTCACCTACCTCTGACTCTGGAGTTGTGTGATTAAAGGTGTGTGCCATCAGCACCCACCCGGCAACTACCCTGTTTCTGGAAAGATAAAAGACATAGTTGTAGAGACAGGCATTCATTGTGTTCTTAGATCAGAACTGAAAATATCTGCGTAGCACATAGTGTGTGTAGATGCAATGTGGCTATGGAAGGAACTCCTTTGTAAATCCAGGGAGTCCCTTTTTTACGGTAAGATGATGTTGGGAGATAGGGATCCAGACAATACAGACGTTGGTGAGGAAAGATAACAGTGTTTGTCACATAGTTTTCTGAGGCAGGTAGGAGCAAGTTTCAGAAGGTGTCAGTAAACGAATGTGTTATTTAACATGTGGAGAATAAGGTCACATTACATATCATTTGTGTATTTCATGCTTAAGGGCTAGATAGAGCAACTCACACACTGCCAGTTAGCTGGAAAAGAACATAAAAATCCTCCAGCCGAGGTGCATTTATGTCAGTCATATCTATTTGCCCCATATAGATAATATCTGCATCTGTGAGGTTACCAGGAATTTGTCACATACAACATCTGCAAGGTACCTGCCTGTTTGGTTATGTCAGATTCTATTGCATAGAGACTGCAAGGGTAGGTAAGTCACTCTGTGTGTGTGTGTGTGTGTGTGTGTGTGTACACAGCCACTCTGCATGACAACGAAAGGCAGTTTCATGGGTGGGTTTCCATGGTAAACCTGGAGTCGACCAGAAAGCTGCACAGTGGAGGGTGCACTAAGAGTCCCAAGGTTCATAGGTTCTTCACTTATGTTGTGGCTAAATGACAGGGTGCTTACAGTAGACTCACATCAGGAGTCTTTGTTTCAGTTTACTTGGGTCATTTTCTTTGGAAATGGAGCCTTTGAGCTTGAGTTTTACTATCTGCAGACGGAGCAAGGTCTTGTGTCTCTAGAAAGGCCTCTGTAGCTTAAAATCTTTTGTTTCGTTCCTGCACTTTATTACTATTGCTCCTATCTCTCAGAGCAATAATACCTGCAATTTCTGAGACTTTTAAAGGTACCAGTGAACTTTTTTTGTATAGTACTAGTTAATCTTCATTAGAACTGTGAAGGAAGCAATTTTTCTCATCTCTTATAGATAAGGAAAAGGATATTCAAATATTTTAAATGATTTCTACAGTTGACTTAAAAGGTAGCAAAGAGTCAAAACTCCAGAAGCGAAAATCGAAGCATACCCTTTTGACTGTACATCTCTCCCAAGAACCATAAAACTTTAGGTAGAGGGAACTGCATAGTTAACATGGCGGAGGGTGGGAGATCCCGATACCGTTCAGTGTGTGGTAGAATTCTCTGGGTCCAAATGCCAGCAGAGGAGCACCACACATGAAGGCCTATAGCTGGAGAAAGGGGGTGAGAGCTGAGGGTAGAGGCAGGTGCTGGAAAAGGAAGGCATAGGCTAGATAGTACAGTATGTATGGTCTTTGCTGAATTTTTGATATTAATCTCAGGGCTTGTCAGAAGATAACAAGGAATGTAAACAATAAGTATTGTTTTGTGTGGAAAATGAACCTTATGTGTGGAGGTTGAGGCAGAGCTGTTCTCCAGGTACGAAGATGTCTGAGCATGCTATGGGAACTCCTGACCAGGAGGGAAACCAGAGACTTACTCTTTATGTTTAAAATGTTGATTGAGCACTCACTCACTGTGGGCCTACTGTTGTGGTAGACGTAGGCAATTGAACAAAACATGCCTCACACAGCTTGTCATTCATTCGTTGAGACTGAGGTTAACTCAGATGACATAATTATATAATTGAAACGGTATAAATGCAAGGGAGAAGTGAAGTGAGTTGTAATTTTTAATTACTTGAAGTAGAAATGTGGTTTGACCCATTTGAGGAATTAGAAACCTAAAGCCTAAGTCCTGACAGTACACTGGCATAAATACCAAGAAGGAGAGTCCTTATGATGTGAGTCACAGCCATCACCAAAGCGGTGAGATAGGGGATACTGGCAGACTGGCACCTATTGAAACTGGGTGCAGAGGGTGGCATGCGAGGCTATAAAGACAGCGCATAGGCAGAGCTTGTTTTACATACTCTGAAGATGAAGGATGCCTGGGACTGCTTGGATACTGCTAGGGTGGTTAAGGAGGTGATCTATGGCCTACAGACCTGGAAGAGACAAGATAACTAAGACAGGCTGCTGTTGAATTGTAATAAATTGAAGCAGCATCTCTCCATTGTTTTTTTTTTTTTTTAACTTTTTGCAAACTAGGATATGAGGTGTTCTTTTGGAAGGGGGAAGACAGTGTAGAAGGTCACAATGCCGGGAGTAGTGAGGGGAGTTAACCTGGTGTTAGAGAGAAGACGGTGTCATAATGGCGGTAGCACAGCTTTCCGGCCACGTCGGATAGAGTAAGTGGGTTATCTTTCCGTTTAACAGCAGCTGTCTCTATAATTAAAAACAAAATTGTTCATTAGTTATAAAACGCTGCTAGACACTATAAAAATAGAAAGATGAGTAAAATCCAGACTTTGTGCAACGGACTCATCCGTTGTACATGGGCTATAATAGCTTGACCTACTTTAATCCTATGTCAGCAGCTCAGGGGGACGGTTCCACTCCTGACTCTGCTTCTCTGGGCTGTTAGATGTAGGGTGTGTCAGCCACCATGTCTGGTAGTTATTCCAGGCTGAGTCACACCGAGAGTCCAGAGAGTTGAAGAGGGAGGAATAGACAATGGCATAATAGAATTTAGAGGGCAATGACCACTGGCAGTTCCTGGAACTCTTTGACAAAGGTCTTCAATGCTAATTGAATCGTTTGTAATCAGTTTTTCCCACGAGACTTCAAGATCCACCAGGAGCTTTGTCTTGGTCACGGCTGATTGTCCTACACTTAAGGGTCACTAGGTAACGTGTGTGTGTGTGTGTGTGTGTGTGTGTGTGTGTGTGTGTTGTGTGTGTGTGTGTCTGTGTGTGGTGTTCTGTTGTAGAGGCCAGACATCGTCCATGAAGGCTCTCCGCCTTGTATTTTGAGACAAGTGCTCACTGAACTGGCACTCATGGATTGACTAGACTGTCCCTGGCCACCCCTGCACTTTCATATTACAGTCACATATTACTACTCCTGGTATTTTTTTGTGTGTGTTGGGTCCTTGTGTGTGTGTGCCAACTGAGCCACCTTCTCATTCTCTCTAGATAAATTTTTATTACACTTAGCAACTGAACCATCTCCCCAGCCCCTCTAAGTCTCTTGGGAACTATAGAGATGAGTTAACAGTTAAGAACACTTGCTGCTCTTTCAGAAGACCAGGGTTCAGTTCCTAGCACCCATATTAAAGGCTCACAAGCACCTATAACCCTAGTTCCATGTGATCGGTTGCCCTCTTCTGCACTCTGTGGGCACTGCGTGTACATACAGATTATGTATACATAAAAATAAATGTAAAAATGAAAAACAGGAATTGTAGCTTGGTTTAATTTAAAAATAAAGTTAAGCAACACATACAAGGGCTGGTGCCCATTTCATTGTCCTGAAGAGTGATCCTGAATTGAACTGAAGAAGTTTCCCATTCGTCTTCTTTGTGATCTCTCCCCTGTACACAAACACAGATGAGGCACTGGAAACTTTGTTTTGTATTCTTCTTTAGGATTCAGCCCTGATGGAGGCTGGAGAGCCTGACCATGGAGCATCTGCACCCATTTCTGCCGTAGAAGAAGTTCAGGCGATCCCTGAAGCTATCATGAGGAGCAGTCAGATCCCTGCCTTGGAGCCCGAAGCTCAAGAAGGCCAAGACCCATCCTACAAGTGGGCAGATGGACACAGACCCTTGATGAACCATCCGAAAGAGTTAAGGGACATGAGTGACCACACACCTGATAGCATGGGGTTTTTCTTAAAGGAAGTTTCTTCAGATGTGGAGGCCAACCAGGAAATCCTTGTGGCCGAGGCCTGTGACACTGTAGATCAGCGGGAACCAGTATCCCAGAACCTTAAAGACAGACTGTCGAGAACAATAGCTGTCCCTGAGCTCCTGGCCTGTGCTGTTCAGGAAGAATGGCTAGACATTTCCAGCAACGTGAACAGCAGAGTGGAGATAGAATTGCAGCCAGAACTCATGTCTTTGGCATTGGCAATTAGCAAAGCAAAAGAAGAAGAAAGGTCTCCAGGCCCCTCTCTCCCTAGAGGATTTTGGCCTCCCTGCACAAAGCACCCTGGTGAGACTGAGGGCCATGGGAGTGACCAGCTCAAGCAGGGGAAACAGCTGCAGCTGGAAGACACACAAGAAAAGCAAGGGCAAGGACTCCTCCAACCCCAGGAGGCCCAGGGACTGGAGGAGCAGGAAGGACAGGAAGTGGAAGTTGAGGAGGAAGGAACTCTGAGGGAAAACATTTGCACTGATGGGCTTCCTGGGGAGCAGGAAGAGGAGGAAGAGGGGGTTAATGGCAGTGAGGAAGAACAGAAAGAGGAACAGGTCCAAAACCATGTAATGCTTGGAGGACAAAGGGAGAGCAGTGAGCTCAGTGGGGAGTTGGAGGGTCTGGATTCCAGGGAGTGGGGTCAAGAGGACAGGCGCGGGAGGGATCCAGAAGAGGAGGGACAGGACAGGGGATGCAGGGCGGTGGAAGGCAGGCGGGGGGCTGCTCAGTCTGCAGAGAATCAAAGGTTAGTGGAGAAATCAGAGGGTGTGAGTGGAAAGCAGGAAAATCATGGTGGCACAGGAAAAGCAGTGCCAGCAGAGGACCAGGAGGAGGTCGTAGCCTCAGGTGAGGGTGGGCAGGCAGCAGAGGAAGGGAGAACAGAACAGGACAAGCATTGTCCTCCGGTGGTTCTCGTAGCTCCTGAGGTTCTGTCGTCAGGTACATTGTTTCCAGGCGTCTCTTGCCCTGTGGCTGATATTCCTGGGGTTCAGAGGGAGCCCGTTCCCCAGGAACTGATCCCCCAAGTTCTGACTCCTGCACCAGAGCCAATAGAGTGGTCTCTCCAACCCATTTCTCCACCTGACTCTTTTGCTACTGAAGAACCCTTGGATGATAGGACTCACAACAGCCGGCAAGAAGCCGGGGTGAGGAAGGAGACAGTGTCCATCCAGGGGACTGATGTTGTCTCTGCTAATATAGCTATGACTCCTCCAAGGACACCCAATTCAGCTCCTTCCAGTCCTGCTGAAGTCTTACCAATCACTGCCACCTTGTCACCTGTTAGCTCTCCAATTGTCCTTCCTGGGAAGGACACCCTAGCAGCCTCTCTCTCAACTGACACACCGCCTCATTGTGGGCCATTTGAGACTCCTCCAGTACCTGCAAAAACTACCAAGGACCCATGTGGTACCTTTGACAAGGGCAACCCTCACAACCCTCTCACCAGCTATACTGGAGCCACCCAACATCTAAGAAGTAACTCGTTCCCAGGCTTTCACAGGACAGAACAGACTCCAGACTCTGTGGGAATGTCTTTTTCTTTCACTCATTTGGAGTTACCGCAGAGGCCCCCCAAACCCGCCATCTATGGCTCTTTGATCCCGAGGAGAAACAGAAGAAGTAGGGACGGCATCGTCTTTTCAGAATCCTCTGCTGCTTTCCTTGGTGTGAGACAGGACTCTGAAGAATTCCCTTCAAATCCAGACAGGCCGAGCGATTCTTGCGCTGGTCAGCTGTGGGGCTCCCCACAGCACTCAGCCTTTGCTGTAGGTTCTCCGGTGAATGTTTCTTCTCCACCCACTGTCTCCATGGATACGAGGACACCTGAAGCTTTGCCCCCTCCTCCCCCAGAAAAGAGACATAGCTATAGCTCCTCAGTAGAGAGAGATGGCCATCTTCATGCAGGAGCCCCCACACTGAAGCGACATAGTCATCCTCCTCCATTGGCCCTGAGTTCGGGGGTACATGGATCTCCTAGAGGCCCATTTCCCCTAGTTCCTGAGTCTGTTGTGGCAAGACAGCACCGCCCTCTGCCATCCACCCCAGAAAGTCCCCACCACACTCAGGCTTCCATCTCAAGGCCGAGATACAACAAACCATTACCCCCAACTCCCTATGAGCCTGAGCACAATTCTCCCATCTCCCCCTCTAGTATACCAAGGATATACAGGCCTCTACCTCCAGTCCCTCCCTCTGAACCACCGCCATTACCCCCGAAATCCAAGGGGAGGAGCAGGAGTATCCAGGGGGGAGTTATACATTCAGGGGATCAAGCCAAACCAAGACCCACTGGCCAAGACTGGCCAGTCTCCACTCTCTGTGCTGGACGGACCTCCTGGCCCCCGGCCGCAGGAAGATCAACAGAATCTTTGGCTCCCACCAGTAGGTGTAACAGTGAAGTGTCCCCTGGCCTGGCTTTCAGCAACATGACAAACCTTCTAAGTCCCTCTTCCCCTACCACTCCCTGGATCCCGGAACTTCAGAGACCTGCCGGTAAAGATGAGTCAGGGCTCACTGAGGAATCTGAGCCCCCAGTGAGAGGATCTTTCAGGAGATCAGCCCCTCAGGAGGGTTGTAGTGACACATGGAGGTCAGCTTTAGCACCAAGAAAGTCAGAAAAACTCAATCACCACCAACTGGAGAAGACGTCCAGCTGGCCCCATAGGCAGGACCCAGTGAGAACAGAGAGTGTCAGTGAACAGGCTGTTGGCCAGGCATCTACCAAGCACAAGGGCTGGAACCGGCAAGGCCTGCGGAGACCTTCTCTCTTGCCCGAGAGCTCTTCAGGTAAGGGGGGAGCCGAGACTGCACAAAGATCTTCGTTAGGCGACGCCTTTCTTCTAGTTCTGCCATCTCCAGGGTCTCCACTGTTCTCTCCGCAGCTTCACTAGCCTGCACATTTACCGTCAACTCAGGAACTCACGGCCCCATGATGCCATCAGATTGTTCGTCCTCCCTCTCTGCCCTTCCATCTCTGGCTTCCCCCAAAGTCTACCTCTTCCTGAAGCTGCCCAACTCCCTCCATTGGCTGTGCCTTCTTGCTCTCTGCCTTGAAGAACTTTAGACACCCTTTCTTTGTGCATTTCCCATCTCGTGTGAAGGTTGGTGGTTTAGCTGAAGACACAGGGTTACTGGATTCCTAGAATGCGTCTGGCTTTAGTGTTGTCTTCTCTTCCAGATTCTAGTAGAACTGTCTTCCTTCTGCTCATCTGTGATTCCTGCTCATCCTTTCACTTCTCCCTGTATGTCACCCATTTCCCTTTGCAGATTTAAGAAGTCCAGGCATGGGAAGACCTCCTAGCTCTTCGGATTCTGTTGTTTTCCGGTGAGTTGTCCTGGCTCCTCACAAATTCAACTGTACAGTCTTTATCTATGACACAAAAATTTCCTTAGTAGGACTTCAGTGCATAATAATACTGGGACCCAGAATTTCTGGTGCCTCTATCTTCAGAAAGTAAGGAGAGGAAAAGAAAGGCACCAGGACTGTTGGGAAGGGAGATGTCTGGACCTGCCCAGTTCTGCCTACTATGTATGGGTCAGCTGTCTTCCTCAGGCATATGGCTAGAAACCAGTCTCCTTCCATATAACATCTGGGGTTATTGTTGGACATGTCTCACTGAATTTATAAGTTCCCCCAAAGTCCTCGGGATCTTCTCTAGACTTTGAGATAAGGGAGAAAGGTTGAATGGAAAGATACATGATGGGGACAGGTTGAAGCCACTGTTCCTTGGGTCCTGACATCCTATCGAGAGTCTGGAAGGTTAGAGATTTCTTCATCTAAAGTCACTTGGGGGTCTTCTGTCTCTTGGTCATCAAGCACCCCAAAACCTGCCTACTCCACAGGGAGAAGAAACCAAAGGAAGGGATGGGAGGCTTTTCAAGGCGTTGCTCCAAGCTCATCAACTCCTGTGAGTACCTTGGAACAGATCTCTAGGCTCAGGTGTGCTTCCCCCTAAAGTGGGAGGGACAGGTACTCTTGACGGCCAGCAATAAAGTGGTGGTGTCCAGATGAAAGGGTTGCCAGAGGTCAGCTGTAGATGGCAGTTTCTGCTGTGGGCCTCCACTCACTTCATTTTCTCAGGATTTTCTCCTCCCATGAATCCTCACCCGTAGCCCAGCTACTTTATCAGGAGTACAGTGATGTTGTTCTGAACAAAGAGATCCAGAGCCAGCAGCGACTAGACAGCCTGGCTGAGGCACCTGGACTCTCTTCCCCCCGGCATCGGCGAAAGGCAGTGGTGCCCTCAGACTCCTATCTGCAGCGTCTGTCCATGGCCTCCAGTGGCTCTCTCTGGCAGGAAATCCCTGTGGTTCGCAACAGCACTGTGCTGCTCTCCATGACCCATGAAGATCAAAAACTGCAAGAGGTACCAACCAGGGCAGGGTAGGGGACAGGAGGGAGAACAAAATCATATATGCTAATGTTTTATCTCCTCCTCACCTCTGCCACCAAGAGCAGACTGTCCCCAGCCCACACTCACCTGTATTCAGAGACTGCTCACCGCCATGCTGAGGAATGTGAACTGCTCTCACAATCCGGGCACGTTCGCCGCTTCCCACATCCGTGCATATGCCATCTGCTCCTATCTGTACTGGCTTGGGCTCATACAGAGTGACCATACCCCTGAATCTGTTGGGAGGGATGGGACAGCAAGGTCATCACTGCTGCTTCGTGATGAGCTATTATCTCCGTTCCACTTGTACAAGGATTTCAGACAAGCCACACACTCAGTCTTTGTGCTGGCTGCTTTGAAGAGGACAACCGGAAGTTGTCCCTTGGTTCTTTGATTTCTCTAAGGCTTTAATATGACCCTCTAAGGCTTTAATATGACCCTGCTTGGTCATCACTCCCAGTATCAAGACTTCAGGGGACAATGCTTATCTGGTTCTAAGCTGCCACCATTAGTAAGTTTTCCATAAGCAGTTTCTGCTTTCAGATCTGTCTGAAATAGGAGGAGGAACCTTTCTTCCCAGGAAAAAAGGAGGACACAGTGGGATAGGCTCCACAACCAATGATCTAGACATGAAGCCTTCGTTAATATGTGTTGCTTGACTTTGGCCAAATCACGTGCTTTCTCTAAGCCATTGTTTCCCATTGGTAAAACAGACGCAAGGAGTTACCAGGAGAAAAAAAAAAAAAAAAGATAAATGGTTACTACAGAATAATCAGTCAGAAAATATGACTATTTGGATTTTGATGATGCAGACCCGGCTTCATGTACTAGCCGGATAACCTCAGACAAGCTGTATAAAACACGTGTTGAGAAAATTACTAACCTGTCCTGTATATATTTCTTCCCATCAAATAATGGGAAGACCAAATGAACTCTAGCTACCCCTCCGTAAGTCTCCAGTAAGCTAGGAAGTTGCAAGGGTCCGGATTCCAGCCCATCCCTCCTGACTTTGTGAGATGAGAGACCTATCTCACTATCTTATACACACATGTTCATGCCATGAGGTAACGTCTTGGGAGTCTGCAATGTTCCTTCACGGACTCCATTCCTTTTAACAATTGTGTTTTCTGGAGTGTGTATGTGTAGGGGTTGGTCGCCATATCTATATAAAAGGACAAAACAACACAAACCCCAAGCTTCAGAAGTTCAACTGAGCCCACTTAAGCCATATGGTCTTAGAACATTATATGGAGAGTAAATGTTGGTGTCACAGTCTGGGGTTGTATAGGAAATTCCTGTGTGGTTGGCTATCTCAGTGATCAGCAAGGGATGTATATATACTGAAGCCCCTTGCTGAGACGTGACAGGAATCTTCCTTTGGTTGTGTCTGAGTCATTTTGTCCCCTGCTGGAGCCTCCATACACATTCTTAAGTGCTTGGTTTCCGGTTTAAATGAAAACATTTTTCGCATATCCTTGTTTTTCCAATTCCATTTCTCCTCAGACCTCAAATTGAGCTTGTCACCTTCCTCCCTAAGTCATTTCCTACTTCAGAGCACTATGGCTTCATCAGCAATTCCATCATCCCACCCACTACCCAACCGGAAAGCAAGGTGTTGGCTTTGGCTCCTCCTATATGCCCCACTTCTAGCAAATAGGCAGTCTTCCAGGTCTGCCTGCTTGGCGCTTAGCTCAGTCTACTTCTTCCCATACCTAGACCAGCAGGCCTTCAGCTCGCATCTAGACATGTTGCCATTTCCCTACATTGCTCCTACTTCTTCTAGTCCTTTTCCACAGTTTCCTAAAAGACACTCCCATTAAAAAAACAACAATAATAACAAAAAACAAAAAACCTCCCCAGCTAATTCCTATACTTGGAACATTTTTCCTTCCACACCTCTGTAAGCTCATGTTGTGCTCTGTTGTTTATGTAACCACCATGCCTCATGCCTCATTCTCACTCCTACTGGTTTCCCTGGCTTTCTTTCTTTTTTCTTTTTCTTGTTTTGTTCGTTTGTTTGTTTAATAAAAATTCCAGAAATGCTCAACTTACTTGTTTCTTTTCTAAAAATAAATTTCACTGTGCTTATGTAAAGTATTAACTACCTTGTCATGAGGTATAGCACAGTATATTTTGTTGGTAAAATTGTTACTGTGATGTGGTAAATTAACATATCTGTGAAATTATAGTTATTTGTGTATGTGTACAAATAAATATTTATATATATTTATTTTAGAGGCACTCATATTTACATATCCATCCCCCCATTCCATTGCTCTCCCATGCTCCCATGGCCTCCCCTATCCCCCCCCCCCCCGGGGGGGGGGGGCCCCCCCGGGGGGGCGCCCA